GTCTTGGCACCTCCCCAGCCAGCAGGATACATGCTACGCCAGTGTTATATAATTAAAAATTTATTTACCAAAATTTTTGTAAATGTTTCTCATAATTTTGTATTTCATTATTGTAATACATGTTTAATATTTAAAAGAAGAATTTATTGAAAAGGACTCTTTAAAAAAAATAATTAGTGAAAATAATCTTTTTGCTAAATAATTAGCAAAATCGACCTCTTTTTGGCCACATCATCAAGAGTGGCCAAAAAGACGTCGATTTTGCAGAAATTATTGTTTAAAAAACATGGGACTATCAGTCCCGTTTGATTAGCGCTAATTAAATTTCCCTTCCTTTCTATCCCGTTCTCTTCTTAAACCAAACCTCGCCGCTGCCACTTCCAACCTCATTCTCCACCACAATTCCACCTCTGAATTCATCATGGACCGCAATTCCATCTCTGACCTCATCCTCGTCGACCACGATTCCCCCAGAACTTCAAATCAAGGATCCCTAGCCGCTTCAACCACCTCCCTCCCCTTCCTCTGCTCCACCTTCTCCTCCCTCTCCAATTCCTCCCCAGTTCCATCCTTTGCCCTCCCTCCTATCCCTCTTCTTCCTCCCCTCAAACTCCAGCCCTAATCTCGACACCTCCATCGTCTCCCTCCTCTTTGATAACGATCTAATCTCCTGACTTGACTTCTTGACTATTTACATGCCCTAGGGTGCCAGCTTCCTCATCCCTCAACCAAATACGTAAACTGAGTTCAGATCCCCTGCAAATTGGAGTTTGAATCGGAGTCCGTAAGACTACATTGGCGGGTGTATAGTATGAAGGGAGGGAGATGAGTAAAGCGGGGTGGGAGGCGAGGAACTGGTGCTTGCAGGACTTGGAGGTTGATCGCGATGATCGGCAGATGAAGGTGAAGGAAGAGAAGGTTAGAGGACCGGCGAGGCAAATGGTGATGGGTTCCTGTGTGAAGTCTAGGGGATTTTGCCATAGTCGATGGGGGTGTTTAGGGTTTCAAATCTAATAAGGTTGATTGAGTGACCTATGTTACCCGGGTACTTCTATAATGAAGCCGTACCCGTACCGGACACGTACCCGACACTTTCCCGTACCCAAACTTCATGGACACTTCTTGAATATATGCATGCATTTATTGCAACATGTACTCAATTATACGATATATGTGTTAATTTAAAAAACTTGTCAAAGATTTCCTAGACGTAGAGCTTACACTTCACATCCGTCTTTTAAAACTAATGAGATACGGGTTGGATTCGTTTCAGTCCATACCCAAGTTTAAAACTATATAGTTAATGGGTCGTTTAGATGTCTAGTAAAAAAACGAGTAGTTTACAATTTACGATAATCAATATGATAAAAGAAACTAAAAAATGTGATCGGAATTTTAATTCTAATGACACATGAAGGGGAAAAAAATTATCTTATGTACAATATTAATTCAATATATATATGTAGTCGTGTCCACGTACCCTACATTTTACAGTTTTGCCGTGTCCCGCACCTGCACCCGTACGGGCCGTACCAGTACCCGTGGCCGTTTCCATTCAACTTAGATTGAGTCTGTTGGATGATGGAGAGATCTTGGAGGCTTGAGAAGAGGAAAGTTGAGATTGTTCCTGATTTCAAGCATTTGGTGGTATTGGTGTTGATGGTGAATGCTGAGGTTGAAGATGATGAGAAGGTTCGAGAGCGTGAACAGTCTTTAAACAAATTACACGGGACTGGCAATCTTGTGTAATTAGCGACCACCACTAATTACACGGGACTGGTAGTCCTGTGTATTTCAAAGATGATTTCTTGTAAAATCGACCTTTTTTGGCCAGCCATGATGACATAGCAAAAAAAAAGGTTTTGCTTATTATTTAGCAAACCGGTCGATCTTGCTAATTACTTTTCAAAAAAGGCCTTTTAAAAAAATTCTCCTATTTAAAATGTCGTGGCTCAATAGGCAGCATTTAAGCCTAGTGCCTAGAAGAATGTGTAGTCTATCAGGTGGTTGCTTATTGTAACCACAACACATGCTTAATCAGTTTATTTGGTCAGTTACAGATGGTATTTCATTTACTCACAAATGATTGTATTATCCAGGTTGCTAGTGCCCTTTCGGATCCATACCTTTCATTTGCAGCTGCTCTGAATGGTTTAGCTGGCCCACTCCATGGCTTGGCTAATCAGGTAATCTTTTTTTCTCCTGCTGGTTCATTCTGGCTATTATTCACCTATATAAGCTCCTGTATGTCCTTAAACTTTCTCTGTAATTTTAGTTACAAGCCATCATGCCTCACAATTTTCGGTTTAAACAAAATTGCGATGCCCGTTTGATTTCCTCCACTGTTATTTTCTTTTGTTTTAGCGCAATTCATACTCCTTATTTTATCAGTTAGTCATATATGTGGGGAGCAAAGATGGATATAAGAATATCTGAAAATAACTCTTAAAATTTTCATGTTATTTGCTTTGATATCTAGTGTTTGTGCTGCATACATAGTTCTAATGTGTATCAGAATATTTATGTCTTTGTCCATTGGGGTTTTCTTGATTGAGGCAAACATTGGGCTGATATCATTTTCAATTAGGCAAAGGATTTTGATGCATCACCAGACTCGAGGTGAAAACAAACCAGATAGTTAACAAACAATATGCTAATTATATGTCCAGATATTTGGTTATGTTCGATTGGATAGCTCATTTAATAGTAAACAAGTAGATTGTAGTACTTTGTTCATACATGATAGCAACTGATGTGTATTTGATTCAGTTGATTATTAAATATTCGTTTATGTTTTACATTTTAATCTTATACATTTAAATCATAACAAACTATATAAAATTGTGTTTGTGATGTATATTATGCCGACAAATATAACGCAACATCAATTTAGTTGACATGTAAAATTAGTAAAGATACAGTTTGAAGGGCAAGTTTAAAAATCGATGCAACTTAGAGGGTATATATATAGAAAAACCATCAAGAATAAATAAGAGAGTATGAAACGTAAGCTATGGGCTTCGAACCCATGACTAAATGGTTGAAATGTTCAGAGCTTACCATCTGCGCTAATGGATATTTGGGACCATATCGCGAATAAACCGTTAGTTAACCAAACCGAATATGAATACCTTTTACGTATTCGACTCAAAGTCAACTCCGAATTCGAATACTTAGAATTAAGTTGAATTCAAAGTCGAATTTCATACTATCGATTCTTTTCCACTGTTAATCAGCGCCAACGACATTAGCAACATGAAGCCTGTCTCGAAGATTTGTGGTTTGCTATATCAATACTTTCTTCATTAAACCCAGAGAATATGATTGTTTGAAATAGCAGTCAGTATTATATTTATGCATGTGAAAGTTTGCTATACATACACTTAGAATAGCCTAGTGCAGTCAATTATACGGAAATGAGTCAGCCAAGGGATGAAATGACTTTAAGGTGGTCTACTTATGTAAATGCATGAGATGTTCAACCCACTCCAAGCACACACACAGATGCACCAATCCTGTAAAATATTCTCAACTTCTCATCTCACAGGTTCACTCTAATAGCTATTCTTAATATACGTATGTATATCTACAGACAGACACACCCCTACATACTATATACCTTATATATTAGCCTCTAGTTGAGGACAAGCAAAGCTTACTTTGTCAGCATATTCACAAAAATAGTCTGGTTGATTTTCATTGTTCATCAAAATGGATATCTTAAAATTTCTTATGCTTGAAGCTCTACTTTATTCAAGTGGTTATTTGTGAGACAGAGAATAATTCAATCACTATGATCTAACATTCTAGTACTTCAGTACTTGCACTAGGTGGTTTCACTTGTTAACTTGTACTCTCTTTTTGGTATTGCAGGAAGTGTTACTGTGGATAAAATCTGTTGTAAAGGAGCGTGGAGAAAACATTTCAACTGAACAGTTGAAGGACTACGTGTGGAAAACATTAAAAAGTGGCAAGGTGATCCCCGCTTCATTAGCCACAACATAATTTAATCAGTCAGTTCATTAATAGAAGATAAAAATTGAAAGGATAAATGTAACTGAATCTACATATTATATGCATGTCAATGATTTCAGTTATTGCTTGATAAAGATGCAAAAATGTCACTTGTATGTTCTAGTGCCGAGTAGTAAAGAGTTGTACTTTTCTTATATGGAAAGCTATTTACTAGGACCGCGCATTTATCATGCTGTATGAACACAATAATAATTCTTATGAGCTTTGGCATGTTATCCTGTCACTTGTCAGTTCATTTTCATTGTAAAGGAACCAAGACGCTTTGAGATATCAAATAATATCCTTGAGCTTCTATTTATCTTCCTTATAGTTTATAGGATTAGTAACATCCTTTTGTGTTTGCAACTTTCCGTGCAGAAACTCTTATATGCGATGCTAATTCTTATATACTATGCACTCTCTCTATACAGGTTGTTCCTGGCTTTGGTCATGGGGTCCTACGTAAAACAGATCCAAGATACACATGCCAGAGGGAATTTGCATTGAAACATTTGCCAGATGATTCTCTCTTCCAGCTGGTTATTTTTTAACTTTGTCTTATATAATTTCATGCCACCTTCAATCTGTGATTTATGATCCTTGCATTTTCAGGTTTCGAAGTTGTATGAAGTTGTTCCTCCAATCCTTACAGAGCTTGGGAAGGTAACTTTCAGATGCTTTTAATTTCTTCGCTTTCATATTAGATTGATCTCAACATTGAATCTATTGAAATCTATACATATTATTGGGTGACTTCTACTATGGCTTTTAGCATATTATTCAAGTATTTTGAATTGTGCACGCATTCAATTTTCAGCTTAAAAGTGTGTTCTTGTTGCCTTGTGGCTTCTGTTAATTTTGGTGGTTATAGAGAATTCTATTGAACTGTTCTGACATCGAGAAATCTGATAAATCATATTCTTTAGGTGTTCTCTTAGACCTGACTGCTTTTGTCTTAGGGTACTCCTCGAAATCTGATTTGTATAATATAGACTAGTATAGTCTTTGGTTTAATCCGGTGGGGTCAGATGCCTCCAGTTTCATCCTTGTATGTGTGATTGCCATTTTATTACGAAACTCACCCTTTTCACTTATGCTTATAACTGAAACGTAAATATTTTCGAGAGTAAATTTGCAGTTCGGTTTCCTTGCAGGTCAAGAATCCATGGCCTAATGTTGATGCCCACAGTGGTGTTCTGCTGAATTATTTTGGTCTCTCTGAAGCTAGGTAACCTTCTCCAACAAAGCCGTCACAGCTCACGAGTTGTAGCTTCATCTTTCAATTCATTTTTTCCAAGGGATTTCTTCCTTCCTTTGGGGGTTACAGATGTGTTATTATACCCATCTCATTCTGAGTGTTACCCTATACACGAAATCTTTGTACAGGTATTACACGGTACTTTTCGGCGTTTCAAGGAGCATTGGGATTTGCTCACAGGTTCTTTCTTCTCTTTACTATTTCATGCAACTCAACAAAAATCTCTGTGAAGTTTATGCTAACTTATTGCTTTTCTTATGCAGCTGATATGGGATCGTGCTCTCGGTTTACCGCTTGAAAGGCCGAAGAGCGTGACTATGGAATGGCTTGAGAATCACTGCAAGAAAGCTGCTTAAAGCCATGAGCATCAAGAGCTGAGTTTACATCACATACATCTTACATAATAAAGGAACCGAGCTTGGGCTTGGTTGAGTCTTCTTGAGCTTCATTTTACAGTAATATGGGAAGGCGAAATTATTTGATCAATCATTTTTACTTTAAACCTCAGTATCATATGATTCTTTTTCGTGATTTCATTCAACCACAGTGTAGCCAACTCCTGGCTCCAGATTGACAACTTGGTCCAATAAGGGTGTATCCGTATTTATCTGTGTTCTGAGTGAACTGTTTACTCTTTTAATTAGTTGATTTTGTAGAGCTTATGCATTGTTATAATTAAGCAACTGTCCGCCTTTTTAATTTGCTTGTGTGGATGATAAATTAAGAGGTGGCCTTTGCATGCTGAAGATGTTAACTAAGTTACCGCTTTTGTAGTGATTATGTCGCTCTTAGAAGTTCAATTTTTGTTGATGATGCCGCCTGTTTTATTTTCGATGTAGAAGTTTAAGAAAAATGAACAGTCACCCATATTGTTTATAACAATTTAAAAGAATAAAACAATTCAAAAGAGTTTCTTAAACAAAACTATCTTAGAGCAAATACTACTACAAGAAAAGTAATATAATAAAAAATAATAACGAGCTAAGTGATTGTTGCAAGGCTGATATATGCAGCATGCACGAATGTGACAATAAATTACATGTATTAGTTTTTCTGATACAGGACTGATATATATTAAGCAACCAAACATTACAAATATTAACAGTTTAGAGACTTGAAGCAGCTAATTGTGTACATCACTATAGAAAAAGTTCTGAAGTGAAAATCCAAGAACTTGTCATACAGTATCAGTCATCTCGTCTGCTCGACACTGCTCTTTTTATCAGCGGATTTGGATCCTCTCCACTACAAAAAAATAGTGAAGAGACCATTACTTTTAATCTCAATCGTTGATTACTTAGTAGGCGGTCATGATACAATTTAAATCTAACACTCATCGTAGCCCCGTGTATTGTACTCATTCCTAATTTGCACCCAAAGAAAAAATCATAACCACAAACTAGATAATTAATGGTTGTGATTATGTAGTGATCCCTCCACTACTTTTTAGATAGTGGAGAGGATCCGAATCCTTTATCAACTTCAAGTGAAACGGACAATACAAAAATGCACGACAGAGAGCTTGAGCAGCGAACATGGCGAGACTTAGCATACATTATTCGAGTTTAATCACAACAGATCATTTTGAAAATCAGTTATTGCACTGGATACAAGGCACAGCAAACTGGTCATATATTTACTTTCCATCGCATGCTAATACTGTTATGAGATTTTCCAAAAATACTTTATTATGTCTTCCCCCTTTTGAGCTTATGTTTTTGAGTTAAAGGTGAAGACCCTTGTGTTTGATGGAGGCGCGAGGGGCTTTTTTTTTTGTTTTATTTTATTTTATAGTTTTAGTTTTAAGTGCAAAGGCACCCCCATACTTTCATTTAAGATGCGGAGAAACGCCTGCGCTTTCGTTTTTAAGTTCCCCATAATATTTACTCATATGCCCCTGCTATAATTTTTAAACAATAGGCAAATTCAACAATAGCTGAAACCAATAAATCCACATTCAACATAATAATAAATGACAATCCCGTAAATTTTTTTTAGCATAAAAAAACAAGCATCGCACTTGAAGAAATAAAACATCTCAAATGTTTACAATGGGAAACTACAATCCCTCTAATGACAACGTTCGAATACCAAAAATAAACGGCAAAAAAAAAAAGAAAGAAAAAGACTCCTACGGCGTGGGCTTTTGCTAATAAAGACACCAGATAACCAAAAGCCATAAAACTCCAAGGGTTGAAGAAAGAGCATCGGTCTGAGCACCCTGAGACGTCATCGGAGCCTCCGGCCGAAGAGTGGCAGGTGACGGAGGGCTGGAGGTCGGACTCTTCGACGGAGACGAAACAGGGGACGGGTCCTCTTTAGTCTCGGGCAATGGTGGTGGATGGATATCAAATCCAACTTCAAATCCAACAGACTTTGGCGGCTTCTCCGGTTTTGGCGGGGACGGAAAAGGGGCAGGTGAAATATCCGACCGTCCTGACGGAGCGGACGGTGATATCTTTGGTGGGGTGACAGAGGGGGCAGGAGAGATTGATGGCCGTGGTGATGGTATAGGAGAAGGTGAATGGGCGTTTGTCAGCGGTGACGG